TGTAAAGTTGCTGGAATACGTTTTTCCTCTGAATTTGAAATCACTACTTATATACCTAGTATTGGCCATGATTTATAAGAACATTTTGTGGTGACTCTACCAGGGCTTGGAACTTTGGGTTGGTATGTGTAGGTACAGGTGTGTGCTTGTAGGAAATTGGGAGGCGACGGTAGACACTTAGAGCCAATGAGGATCTATGAACCAGAAGTGGTCGACAACAGTCATATATGGAAATGCTTGGAAGTTTCAAACGAGAAGTTGAGTGAAAAAGGTGGTTGGATGGATTCTTCTTCATTTAATTTTGAGATGTTTGCATTATACTCTGTGGTGTTTTGGTGGTTTGAGGACGGTCCTGTAGTGGTTTTGGTTCAACTTGTTTTTCTTCCGCTAATTATATTGTAACCGTTAAAGGCGACATGTCTTTCCTAGAATGGGGTTGGCTAGTTTAAGTGCAGGAATTTATCAATCTTGGCAAAGCTCTTGCCTCTCATTGCTTCAAGTGGATTCCAAGAAATCATAATGCAGCGGCTGATTGGTGTGCCCAAGTTGTTCTTAGGGAGAAGTGTTCGAAAGATTAGGACTAGGTGTTGCAACTCCTTTCTCCCGTGTTTAAAATCCTAGCTGATGATTTCTCAAAGGCTAGGAATCATTGTCCTTGTTTTTAAAATCCTAGGGAGAAGTGTCCGAAGGCTTAGGACTAGGTGTTGCTGCTGGTTTTAGTTTTTTGCTGTTGCTGGTTTAGTTCTTTTTCTGTTGCTGGTTTTATTTATTTATTTTTTTATTTTTTTTGGTCGTTGTTGGTTTAGTTGCTGTTACTCTATTTGTTGTTTTTGGCTTTTGTCACTGGTTTGAATGAGATATATCTTTTACTAGTTGCTGATGGGAAAAAAAAACAGAGTTTTGAATGTGAGATTTTTAAAACCGAATTCACCAACCCAAAACTTTTTTGTTTTTTGGCCAACAAAACGTTACCTTACATGATTTCACCATGAATCCATGATCATGTGGTTAATTGTTAAAGGAAAGTTTTGGGTGATACATGAAAATGATGAGTTGCATTACATTGACAGGATCCTCATATGAAGGAAGGGAGGCATACGGAAACAAAAGCGTATGAATCAGAATCACACAACATGCTCAATCATTTAGAATTCTATCAACTTCTAGACTACAATAGTCCAGTTTCAAGTTCGATTAAGGGGTTTCCACAACAAGCATTGGGAAATTAAAACATAGAGAGCTACAGCTTTCATGTTTTATTTTTATTTTTATTCTTAAAATTCTGAACTCGTCAGGATCAAAATTGGGCTCAAATTGTATGCATTTGCACTGTGGACCTGCTGGAGCAAGGGTATGTCTGGCTGTACGTCTTGTTTTTCGAGGATAAACTTGAACAATCTTTTGGGTTAGTATGTCTTCGTGATTTCTTGTCTTTGATTGCAAAAAGTTGAGTGTACATATGATATGAGAGACCAACTTTGAGTCTAGCAATGCAATGAATCAAGGTTCAAATTTTTATAAGAGAAATATTCATATTTAATGCCACGTGTGTTGGTAATCAAAATGATAATGTAAGCTTGCTTAGTAATGTAAGCTTCGATGATGGGACGACTGGAATGCCCATCTTTGTTGGATAAAAAGTAAAATTATAATAACATTTAAAAAAAAAAAACTCTTTGTATAAACAACTTTCTGTATCTAAAAATTATGATTAATTACATGAGATTATAACACAGATAAAATTTGATGTCATAAAATTTCAGAGACATGAGTAAAATCTTCTAAGAGGAAAGTGATGTTTTTCTCCCCCTTTTTGCGATGATGGGAACATTTGAAGATTTTTAAGCAGAGCAAACTAAAATATATATTTTGAGATCACTCTACATAATTTTTTTTCTTTCCCTTGACTTGTTGACTTGTGGAAGCAACGTGACCCAAGCTTAAACCTTTGCAAACTAGCACATTTAGCTCCGTTTCTCCTTTAGTTGGTATATCACTGAAATTAAGCTTTCAATATTATAAACGATCAACAAAGATGGAACAGAGTCGAAATGGAAATGATTTAAAAGAGTATATTAATAAAAATATTAATCTGATCAGATAAGGGCTTGGGGATAAGCATGTGCACCAATTTCATGAATTGAGTGCGCCACCCCCCCCCGGGGGGGGTGTTCATTTTCGTGTAACTGCCGAGAATCTAGGATATCTCATCCAATCAAACAAAATTTGAAGACAATATAATATTCCTTTCAAATTAAAAAATACTTTTAATTAAAATCTCATGAATCTCATTAAATGTGTGTCATAATTTTATTTTTTAAAATAAAAATTTAAAATTTAAAAAACCCTTAATTTAATAACCTTAAATCTACACTTAATTATTAAATAAAGAGAGAAAATGTAATATTAAAATAAGCTTATTTAATAAAATATTAATATTTTTAAAGTGTTTTATATTTAGGAACACCGAATCTTTTAAAAAAGTGTCGTATAATTTGAAATAGAGGGAATACTATTGTCTATTAAATACCTATTTGGGAAGGTACTTTGTTCTCCCAAAATATAAGGCAATTTGTTTAAAGTAATGTCTTAATAATTCTGTTTTTCAATATCATCTTTCAAATGAAAAAGAATTAAAATGATCATAGTATAATGATTAAATATACAGATTTAAAGTTATATTAAATGAAAAAAAAATTGACAATTTATATTTTTGCTTTGAAAATGTACTCCCACCAATTCAAAATAAAAGGAATTTTTGAGAAAAATTTGTGTGCCAATAAAGTCCTTATTTCCATAAAAGTATATATTGTGTTTCTTTTTTTTTTTATACATAATCCCAATTACTAATGCACTCTATGATGAGTGAAAGATATATTTATACAGATATCTAGGTTAATATATATACAAGAGAAAAAATGAAAATTTTTTTTACATGTGTTAAGTTGCCTATATTTTAAATTAAAATTAATTGAGAGAAAATGCTTATATTTTAGATTGGAGGGAGTAAGTTTGTAAAATGTTGTTATTGAGCTTTAACGAATGTGCAATCTCACTTCAAATTATCTTACAATTTGATATCAAGGTAGTAGAAGACGAATTTAATTAACCTTACATTTATTAAAAAATAATAGTTATATTCTTAAAATTGTTAAAATATATGCAATTCTTCAATTTTGTCATTCTTAAAGATTAATAACTATAATAAATTTTATATAATAATTTAAAAGATAAAAATTAGTAAGGGATAAAATTAAAAATAAATAATTATTCTAACTTTATCTTTCACTAAAATAAATCTAAAATACAGAAAACCATCTCAATTTTTGAGACAGTCGTATATGACCCCTTAAACATTGAAACATTTAAAATTAACTTTATTAACTTGTAATTTTATTTATCAAACTCCTATTTTTAGTTATTTTTTTTCGTAAGGGTTAAAATATCATTTAACTAAAAAATATTATTAAAAAATATTATACTGTAAAACTATTTATAATTAAATTTTTATATTTTTTAAATAGTTGAGACATTGATAGTCAAAAATGTTATCATCACTATATAAAATTTTAAATATTTATATTTATATTAGTTTTATCCATTTTTTTGTCATCAGTGGTGCATAGTTTCATTGTTTTTAAGGATAAATTTTTATTTATATTTTTAGGCTAGATTAATGTAATTCACATAGCTAGAATATTTAAAATTTTAAATATTATTAGATTAGATTAATTTATCCTTTAATACAAGAAACCTGTGCGCCATTGATAATAAGAAAATGGATAAAACTACTATAAAAGTAAATATTTAAAATTTTATATGGTAATAATAACATTGTTTTTTGGCTATCAATGCCTCAACTATTTAAAAAATATAAGAAAGTGATTAGTTATAGTTCTACAATATAATATCTTATTTACTAACATTTTTTAGTTAGATGACATTTTATCTCTTAGGAAAAAATAATATATTTAACAGTAGGGGCTTTAAAAAATAAAATTAAAGGTTAGGGGGTTAATTTTAAATTTTTAAAATTGAGGGAGAGTTATATGCAAATGTTTCAAAATTTAAGAAAATGTTATACATTTTAACCTTAAAATAAAATGAACTTTCAAAATTTAGCTTACGTTAACGTTTCAAAAGAGTAGTTTGGGGTACGTGAGATGAAAATAGTACTCCGTCAATCCAAAATTAATGAATTATAAAATATTTTTAAAAAAGATTTAGTTTTCTAAAATATAAAAAATTTGATAAAAAATAAAATTTTATTAATGATATTTTTAGAATATTATACTTATCATTATATTCTCTCTTTAATATTCCTTTATAAATTGAGTATTAAATAAAAGTTATTTTTAAAAGTTCATATTTTTATTTTTAAAAAATAAAATTATAAAATATATTTAATAAATTTTATTAATATACCTAATTTTATTTTAAAATATTTTATAATTTGAGAGGGAAGATTCTCGTTGACTGCGAAACTTCGCACAACTTTCGTCAATGTACAAGGCCATTGGCTCTCCTGCACTATTATAATTCCAGGCATGCATATCCACAAATGGTCCTCGAAAATCCGCATAAAATATTAGAAATATATGCTTAAAAAACTGAGACTACCCTCTATCCCTGCTAAACTGAGGCACTACTTATGTCGAGTATTTTATAAAATTTTTAATTTAGATGGTTAATCTCATCACCCTAACGAGTGTCGGGCGATGAGCACGGAAGCTGAATCTGTTTAGTTCATATATAATTGTTTATCTTTTAATATAACTGGTTCTGTCCTCAAAAAAGTAAATTTTTTTAGACGGCGTTATCTGCCTTTGTACATACTGGATATCTCATATGTAAGCAGTCATAATTTTTCTACTAAAATTAACATCTATGCATGGCACTGATTAATTATTATTATTATTTCGAGAGCACTGAGTAACGAAAGGAGTTCAGTTGAGCGTCGTTCTTGAATTACAATTTGCTTCCTCTCTCTCTCTCTCTCTCTCTCACTCATATAAACCAGATGAGGTAACTGAGTTTTGGTCGACGATCGACGACGCAGAGTGATTGTCAAGGCAGGAAGACATGGGAGGCGTAGGCGAGCTGGTTGGTGGTGCCGCTCTGGGAACCGTGTTTTCAGAGTTATGGAATACAGTGAAGGATGCCAAGAACCGTCTCAAAGACTTCAAAAACAAATTGCAGGACCTGGATGAAACTCTCCAAGATCTCGATCCAATGGTCAAAGATATACAAAACTTCAACGCCCAGCTGAAGCGATCCGATCAGCGTGATGTAGATCACTTAAAGTCAGTGATGGAAAAGGGTTCGAATCTTGTTTCCAAGTGCCTTCTCTTTCGACGACGAGACTTCATCAAGAAGATATATTACCACAAGAAGCTTGTGGAGCTCGACAACGACATCATCATCTTCAACAATAAACACAATCTGTTGAACACTTTTCGGGAGGTCAAGCTTCTACACTTGAAAGTCGACAAACTCTCCGATCAGATTCAAAGCCAAAGACCTTCCACTAGTAAATCCTCCGGTCGTGGTGGTGGTGGTGGTAGCTCCTCCACCTTATGCCGGAGTTCCAAGATCTTACAATATACCTTTTCTCGTCCTCGCTGTCGTTTACCTTTATGTTGTCTTTGATGCTGCCGGGACTGGAATAGCGTTGGTCATTTTCTTCTTCGCTTTGCTCATCTACAAACTCGTCTTGTTGGTGCTTGAAACTGACACTGGAATCGCCATGATCATAAACGACGCTGGTCAGCTGAAAACGACGATAAAAAAACTAAGATCTACCCTGAAATCACTGGCTCCGGTGCTGGAGGAGATTGATCATGAAAGTCAAAATGGTGAAAAGACTGAGAAGACTTATGGAAGAGGGTGAGAAGCTGGTTCGAAATGGCTTAAAGATAGGATCTTGGAACGTTGTTGAGAAGTGGGAGTACCAGAAAAAGATAGTGGAGCTCGAAAATAAGCTCTTAAGGTTCCATAGCCGTCATCTGCAAGCTCGCTTGGAAACGATGATTGACGCGGCAAGTGATGGCTTAGAGATGAATGAGAATGAATATTCTTTTTATAAGCCCGCACGTTATTTTGATGAGGTAAATATAATTATATTTTGTTCAATTTCTGGTCCCAATTAACGGCAGCTCTAAACTTTAATTTTTTTTCCAAGTATATACTTTTATTTTTAGTCTACATGTTTTGTTGAATGTAATTAAGTACATGATATTCCTCATTTTTCTAATTAAGAATACTTGTCATTGACATAATATTGTGCTCAATGGACCGAGGCCTTGCAAATGGTGATGTTTTTGTTTTGTTTTGTTTTGTCACTGCGTATTACTAATAATTATGTCTGATCTATGTTGTTGCGTGAGTCTTGGTGTTTCAAGTCACTGTTTATTACAATTATGCTGGGCTTGAATCTAGGGTATTTAAAATTAGGCTTGCATTAAGTTGAATATACTATTTGGACGATCCATAAAATTTTAAGAACTTGGATTTAATAAATTCAAATAAATTCATGTTTTATTATAATTTCAAATTCCGCATAGTATATCCTAGTTTTGAAATATTATAAGCTAATATAATCCACTTGTCCTCCTTTCATTTTCGTTTCTTGTCTCTTTATTTTCTTTGTTTTTGAATTTGAAATTTTTATACCAGCCAAACAAAAGAGTTTTAAAAGTGAAATTTATTTTAAAACCCAAATTCACCCATTCAAAATTACACCTTAAATACTTTCATCATCGTGAGGGTTGTGAAGGAAAGTTTTTGGGTGATTCATGATCATGATGACGAGTTGCATTACATTGACAGGATCCTCATATGAAGGAAGGGAGGCATACGGAAAGAAAAGCATATGAATCAGAACCACACAACATGCTCAACGATTTAGAATCCTATCAGCTTCTGGACTACAGTAGCCCCGTTTCAAGTTCCATTGTGGGATTTCAACAACAAGCATTGGGAAACTAAAACATAGGAAGCTACAACGTAACTTTCATGTTTTATTCTTTCTTTCTTTTTTTTTTTTCTAGTCTGAAGTCGTCAAAATTGGGCTCAAATTGTATGCACTCCTTGCACGGGGACCTGCCGGAGCAAGACCATGTATGGCTATACTTTTCTTCAAGGATTAGGTTGAACAATCCTTTGGGTCAATAAATATGTGTCTGTGACTTCTCGTTTTTTGATTCCATCTCGGTATCCTGAGAAACCGGACGGCAGTATTATCATCTCTTGTTTAAACTAACTCAAACCCTGTTATGTGAGACTATTATTATTAACGACAGGCTTAGCATTATCTTTATTGGTTGCGAAATGTTGAGTACAAATATGATATGAGAGAGGAATAATATTAATGTAGGGCTAGGTTGAATATGGAACTATACTTTATACTTGTATAGGGTTAAGAATCAATCTAGCCACTGAGTTAATGTGTTATTCACCATACCGTTGAATCTTAGAGAGCTTTTTCTTCCCCAAGGGCATTAGGGTCTTTTTGTTTTGTTTTTGCTTCCTTTTACATAGTCCATACTCAATTCACATTCACCAAACAAAAATTACGTTAAGATTCTATTAGAATTTACTATCAGACCAAACATATATTTTTAAACTTATTTCCTTTTAAATTTCCTATCCAACAAATTAAACAGTGACTTAAACATTCAAAGAAAAGTCAAACCTATAATAATTTTTTTAGCATACAAAAGTTTATGAGTTAAGTTCTGGGAACTTACCAAAAACATAGGACCAATGCATGTTTCTGTATTCAAAGAGTACTAATGGATGTACTTATAGATCATCCATTAACAAGATTTTAACATCAACAATTAATAACAATTAATAGGAATTAATTTGAACCTATGACTTTATAGGTTATGGAGCAAATCCTTAACAATTGAACCAGTACCTTTGTTAGTTATATTGAATTGAATAGTACATGGGAGTATATGTGGAACAGTTTGGGCTTGCTTGATTTTCTATTTTCAAAAAAAAATTATTTATGAAAACCAAAAAAGTAAAAGTAGTTTAGTTCACGCTAAAAAGTTGTTAGTAAAAATGGTTTGTAGCGTCGTGCCTGTTTTCCACAATTTTTTTAAAGTGCCAAAACTAATTAGAACTAAAAGTATATGCGAGTTTGTGTGCTGAAATGCATTACTTGAGAGTAATTATAGTGAGGATGCTTCGGTGATCGCAGGGAAAAGAAAGCAACAAGACGAGAAGGTCTAGACTAAAGATTAACGGTCGCATTAACATATAGGGTCAATTGAGTTTTGCTTGTTACAGTCGAGGTGTATAATGTTCAAGCAAATTTTAGTTACACACCTGTTGCCTTTTATATATGGGCAGGCAATGACACTCTTCTTTGAAATTGAAGTTTATCAAAGAGCATCAATGGTTCGCGCCTTGGTTCTCCGAGTTTCACGGATATATTGTGGGGAGTGACCTTAGGACCTGGTCGTCATTGCTCCATCGAAACACAATGTTCACTAATCCTCGAAAGGTCCGGCCTTCAAACAATAATAGAGTGGACCTATGGTCGAGTTCCCTTAAGTTGGACCTCATTCTCGATTTTTCAGCCCATAGCATTTATATTTTTGGTCCAAACAAGTTTGAAAATGTGTTTTTCATTATATGTTCTGAAAACCAAAAATGTTAAAAGTTATTTTAAAAAAATAAAAAATTATTTTTTTAATGTTTTGTTGCTTTTTGTTCAATAAAATTAGAGAAAAGACACAAATATAATTACAAAAAGTGAGAATGAAAAGTTGAAACAAAACATTCATACTTAAAAGTGACAACAAAAGTTAAAGAAATTGACAATATAAGGTAATCGGTATATATTCACAATCTTTTTATAAGTATTAAAAAGTGACAATAACTAATTTGACGAGCGGAACAGAAAATGACAGCTTCTAATACCCTATTATTGACAACTTTATTTCCTTTGAATTTAATATGTTGTTAAAACAGAAGAAAATCAAATGCATATTTATACATCATTTGTCTCAGCACATGCAATGGTTAATCTTCAATCCCATATTATTTAGTGAAAAAAGGAGTGTCGTGAGACATGTTAAAGATGCGGAGTTTCAAGATAAAAGAAGAATTTGACTTTTAATCACACGCGAAAAACCTAGGCTCTCTTACCATAGTTTACCTGGATGTAACAATTCAAAGTAAGAAAAATTAATATAGATGCAAGAAAGCAAAGATACATTAATTTAAAGAAAGAGGTGGCATGCAACATCCTAGAAAAATTTTACCCTAATTAACTAAGTTTAATTATGATAATTAAATGATTTGATGTGGTGTAGAGGTTTAATAAGTTTTGATTGTAATTTCAACCCTAATTATGGATCTGAAGTGAAGTTGGGTCATTCAAGCAATAAAAAGAGAGAAAAATCAAAGAAGGAACCTCTGTGCTATATATTACAGTGTGTAGCATGTTTGCCATGGGCCGCGGTGCATGGGAGGTAAGCAATGAGGGAAGACCTCTTTGTGCCATGTGTTGTGACATATGATTAAATTTTGCTTAAATCAATTGCTGTTTGCTCAAAAAACCAGAGAGGAAGAGAAGGAGAAAATGAAAGGCTCAACATTTCTTTGCTAGGGCTTATCACATTGGAAGTTTAGAAGCATTTTGAAACTAGAAATATCTAAAGTAAGGTTCTTAAACTCCTTTCCTCCCATTCTCTTCTATTTTCATAAAGATTTAAGTCAAAGTTTGAATAGAAATAATGATTTTTTGTCTATACGAACTATGAGTCTAAACTTATTAACTTAAATAGAGTTAATAGAGAGTTGTTTAGATTATTTCAACCTAATATTGATGATTTTATAAGTGTTTGATTGTCAAGCCTCATTAATGTCAAAAAAAAAATAAGGCATTAAATGCGAGTTTTGAGGATGGTTGAGGCATTAATGACTCCATGTGAGATTCATAATGGTTAGTTGGGTTTGGATAAAAGTTAATATACCCAATAGATAAGCCTAAATATGAAAAATAAGGGTATTTGATATTTTAGAAGTGGAAAATGAGAGTTGAAAATGTGTTTTCAATAATGTTGATAAATTCAAACTTAATTAATTGTAGATTAATCGTCTGGGCACCGTATTTAGTTTAGAAAAGCAAGCTTGAAAGTAAGATATTGAGAGGTAAACCTTTAACCTCTCAAAAATTTGAGATAACTAGAAAAAATTTATCTTAAATAGTTATTTATTAATTATATTATAATGTGAAAATGAGTTTTTGCTTGTATAATTGAGTTTATTAATGTGGAAGCAAGCTATAAACCCTATGATACTGTATGAATCCTATTAAAATTGAAAAGTGAAATTAAATCTCAAGTGATTTTCAAAGCTATAACTATGCATTAGAATGCGAAGTGTGTGATATATGATGTAATGATATGCGGTTATATTAATATGTGAGTATGATATGCGTGGCTAAATGAATAATTGAACTATGTTATAAAAGTGATAATTGAAGTTAAGAGAGTTTATGAATATGACATTGATGCTTACTTGAGTAATATTATAGAGCGTGAGCCCAATGTGTTATCATTGGGTAAATGAATTTGATCAAGTAAAGTAATAATTATTTTTTTGTTATTTATGCAGGATAGCCTTCCTACTAATGCTCAAGGCTCTAGCTTATCCTTCCTGTGAAGAAGAATGGAGTCTCATGTTAGAGTGTCCATGAATGTTTTTAAATAAGCAAATTATATTGTAAAATTATTTATAAATGACTTCTTTTATTTTTTATTTAGATAGTTGAGGCATTAATAGCGAAAAAATATTATTATTCATAGTATTTGCTTTTGTGTTAGTTTTATTATTTTTTTGTTATCAACAATGTTTAATTTTCTTATATTAAAACATAAATTTTTATTTATATAATTCTTATCAACGACATTTTTTAAATATTTTTTATTTATTTAATATAAAAAGCTATTTTAATTGAAAAAAATAATAAATAATTTCTTATATTGTATTAATGTGATTAATATTCATATTTTGTTGCCCGGATTGTGTTAAAAAATATTCAATAAAAAATATCAACAACTCCCATATGAATATTAAATTCTAAAAAAAAAATCTTTTATATGATTCTAGAAAGCAAATTATGTTAATAACATAATAGAGTTAATTAAAGGTAGGAAACCTTAAAAAACAAAATTGAAAGTTAGAGGAGTTACTTTTAAATGTTTAAATGTAAAAGGGATCATTTGCAACTACCTCACAACTCAGGAAAATTTTATGCATTTTAGCCATTAATAAATTATACAAGGCAACAACACCACATGCTTTATATTGATCACAACGGATAAAATTTAAATGCATATTAATACTTACATGAACAATACATCATCGACAATAAGACACACTTAATGAAAGTTATGGGGGAAAAAGTTCACAACGAAAAATCAAGAGCCTAAATTTCATATCCAAACTTTTGGGTGAGAAAAATAAATACAACACCACATGCTTTATATTGATAATTAGAAATTTCAACTCCGTAACATTCAGGTCAGACGCCCTGCCATTGTGGCTACCCAATTTGCGCTTCTCCCTGCAAAGCACAGGAAAACATATTGGCATCTCAGTTTTGCTATCTTCTATTCTTTTTTTTCTTCTGAGATATAGATTTTAGTCCCTTTTGCAATTGTATAGAGCACAGTCATAAAATAGATTCGAGTCATGATTGAATAGACTATTATCACTCGAAATATATGTAACAATATCTTAAGCATAGAGTCATAAATCATTGCATAGACGACAGGACATAATTAAATGGCACAAACCTTTGTGGCTTCAGTAGCATAACCCCATTTCTGAAGATACTTCCCCAATTGTGAACTTCAGTTTTTGTGTAACAGTCAAACTTAAATATATATCCAGAGGAGCTTCAATTTGGTTCTGGCAAAACAATGACCCATGATATGTAGTACAAATTAGCTTATTGAGTTTCCACCGTAGAAGAATATGGAGGAAATTTGACTTCAGGAATGTCTTGAGTCAGTGAAAAGGCATCAGTTGCGATGAGAAGGGAATTAGACTTATAAATAAATTCCAATATAACTAAAAAATAATAATAATAATAATAACAATAATAACATCCTAATCCAAATAAATCATACAATTTTCAGCATTGTTATTGCCAAAGCTTATATATCCAGTGACTCCTAACCTTCCTAATGAGTTTCCTTGTTTTAAGCATTAACAAAGCTGTCACTTAGTAAGTAAACAAAAGAACAATAAAAATCATCAGCATTGAGATTACATAGCCATGAATATTAAGCATAATCATTTTAATAAATCCAAAAAACCATTTTGAATACATGAGCTATCATAGAATGCAAATGGATATAAGTTGTGAAACCTAATGAATTTCTATATGTTTTCAATGTACCCATTTGGCTTTACTTTCTGTCCTGTGATATTTAATTATAATTAAGAGAGTAGAAAACAAACAACAAAGAAGTTGTGAAATTGATAGGTCTCTTTTGTTCCTATATGCGCAAAAAAGGTGTGCAAGTATAGAAAAAGTGTGCTCGTGTTGGAAATTAATAGCAAACTTGACATGCTTTTATCAATTTCTCAATTCTCAATAGTACTCCAACAAGGATAAGGTCCCTAGGACTTACCCTCTGCATAAGTCACCAAGCTTGGCTGAACACATTAATGCAAGACCAATCACACGCTTGCCATTTAAGTCCATCAGTAATAAGTTCATAATTACTTTCTTTATGCCCTTCCAAGCTAAAACAGAGTGACACACTTGATCTGATCTTTTCACAAGAGCAATTTTCGCTTTGTGTGGGAGCATCAATTCCTAAATAACGTGATGGTAGCAAAGGACACACAAGAAAAAGGCAACAAATATATAAAAAATCAAAAAATAAATATTATTCACAATAAAATTTTCACAGCAAAAACATGCTTATCCACAAAAAGCAATAACAATAGTAGGAAGAAGAAAACGTGATTTGAAAAAAGAGGCAATAAAATGAGTGGTACCAGTGTAATTAATGCTACTGTAACTAACTAAGAGGACCATTTCGCCATGGAAACCAAACCATATCTTTTCTGATCTTTGCCATCTCTTCCTTATACTTTGTTTCTGAATCCTCACTTCCGTTTTCCCAATCTCTCTCTCATTTCCTTCATCTTCTCTTCCAGAGCCTGCAAATTACACATATAATCGCAATTAGTAACCAATCAAATTATTCCTCAGCATCAAATTCAACCAATTTTTCAAGTTTTATTCATTAGAAGAATCTATACACACACACACACCTCGTGCCGAATCACGAAATCCTCCCCCTGCTCCATGAAGAAGTTGTTGAACTGGTCGATGTCGTTGTTCGTCATACACACAAACTCTGCCTTTGCTTTATTGAACTCCCTCACTCCGTTCGACAGCAGCAGAGCTGTCGATATCAGCCACACTAGATTCTTCAACTCCTTGTACAACAGGAAGCCATTTCGGCAACGACTCCGCGATCTACTTCTTCAGCTGCTTCCTGAACTTCGTTATCAATCTCTCACTCTCAGCTCAAAAAATCGAAACAAAGAAACCAAAATCAACAAGAAAATTAAATCGTGAAAACTAGAGGGAGAGGCAGAGGCAGTGGTGCAATAGTGGCAAGGCGACGGAACAAGGAAGTGAGGAGGAGAGAATGGGCTTAAGAAGGGTGGGGGTTTGGGGAGGTGTGGACGAGTCGAGGGATTGACGGAAAATGTAAGGGAATAAGTTTGTTTGTTGATGAATGTCAAATAAATATTTTAAATATTTGACATTTAGTATTAAATAAGCATTAAATATGTAAATATTTAAAAAATGAAAATATATACTTAGTTGACTGTTATTTTAAATAATTATTAAATATTTATTTATATATTTAACAATTATTAAAAATAATTATCAAATATTCTCCGCATTTGATTATTATAAGTGATAAGTATGAAATGTCATATTCAAATAATTTTGTAGTAGCGTAAGGCCTTGCAAATGGTGTTTTTTTTTTTCTTGTTTTGTTTTGCCATTGGATATTACTAATAATTATGTCTGATCTATGTTGTTGCGCGAGTCTTGGTGTTTCAAGTCACTGTTTATTACAATTATGTTGGGTTTGAATCTAGGGGATTTAAAATTAGGCTTTCATTTAAGTTGAATCTACTATTTGGATCCATCAAATTTTAAGGACGACTTGGATTTAATAAATTCATATTTTTTGATTTTTTTTATCATTTCAAATTTCGGATAGTACATCCTAGTTTTGAAATATTTATAAGTTAATATAATCCTTTTGTCCTCTTTCCATTTTCATCTCCTGTCTCTTTATTTTCTTTATTTTTGAATTTGAAATTTTTATACCAGCCAAATAAAAGAGTTTAAAAGTGAAATTTATTTTAAAACCCAAATTCCCCCATCTTAAATATGTAATTTCATCATCTTGAGGGCTGTGAAGGAAAGTTTTTGGGTGATTCATGATCATGATAATGAGTTGCATTGCATTGACAGGATCCTTATATAAAGGAAGGGAGGCATATGAAAAGAAAAGCGTCTGAATCAGAATCACACAACATACTCAACAATTTAGAATCCTATCAGTTTCTGGACTACAATAGCCCCGTTTCAAGTTCCATTGAGGGGTTTCAGCAACAAACATTAGGAAACTAAAACATAGGGAGTTACAACGTAACTTTCATGTTTCATTTTTTTTTTTATTAGTTTGAAGTCGTCATGATCAAAATTGGGCTCAAATTGTTTGCACTACTTGCACGGGGACCTGCTGGAGCAAGACCATGTATGGCTATCTTTTTCAAGGATTAGGTTGAACAATCGTTTGGGCCCATATATACTTGTTTGTGATTTCTTCTCATTTTTGATTCAGCCCAGTATCTTGGGAAACCTGATGAGGTATTACCATATTTTGTTTAAACTAATTCAAACTCCACTATATGGGACTATTATTATTGAAGATGGACTTAGTATTCTTCTTTTTGTTTGTGAAATGTTGAGTACAAATATGATATGAGAGAGAAAATAATATTAATGTAGGGTTAGCTTGAATGTGAAATTATATTTTATATTTATATAGGGTTAAGAATCAATCTAGTCACTGAGTTAATGTGTTTCTTCACCATGCCATTGAATCTTATAAACTTATTTTTTCCCGAGGGCATGTTTTTGCTTCCTTTTCCATAGTCCATACCCAATTCATATGCATCAAACAAAAACTATGTTAAGATTCTGTTAGACCTTACTATCAGACTAAACATATTTTTAAACTTATTTCCTTTTACATTTCCAATTCAATTTATCGACCTTTTTTCTTTTTCAGTTCTATTCACATCAAAATGCTTCCAACAAATTAAACAATGACTTGAACATCCAAAGAAAAGTCAAACCTATAATAATTTTTTTTTTAGTATATATACAACATTTTATGAGTTAGGTCCTGGGAACTTATTAAGACTGCAGGACCAATGCATGTCTCCATATTCAAAGAGTGCTGACGGATGTATTTATAGATTATCCATTAATAAAGTCTTAACATCAACAATTAATAACAATTAATAGGAATTAATTTGAATCCACAACTTTATGGGTTATGGAGCATATCCTTACCAGTTGAGCCAATACCTTTGTAGTATATGGGAGTATACGCGGTACAGTATGTTCAAATTTTTATCTATAAAAGCCAAAAAAGTAAAAATAGTTTTGCTCGCACTAAAAAGTTGTTAGCAAAAATGGTTCATAGCATCATGCCCATTTACCATAATTTTCTTAGAGTGCCAAAGCTAATTAAAACTCAAGCAAGTATGCATGCTGAAATGCTTTACTTGAGAGTAATTATAGCGAGGGTGCTCCTGTAATCGGAGGGAAAAGAAAAGCAGCAAGCCTCTAGGTCTAGACTAAAGATTAAGGGTCGCATTATAGCCAAGCTTTAGATTGACATAGGATCAGTTCAGTTTTGCTTGTTACAGTGAAGTCACATAATGTTCAAGCAAGTTTTAGTTATACACTCGTTGCCATTTATATGGTAGGCAATGGCACTCTTCTTTGAAATTGAAGTTTGCCAAGGAGCATTAATGGTTTGTGCCTGTTTAAGAGTTGTGGGTGCACCTCATCGAGGAAACATCGTGCTGCGAGTTTCACGGATAGTGGGGGACGGCCTTAGGATCTAGTCGTCATTGCTCCATCGAAATTTCACTCATCCTCAAAGGTCTGGCCTTCAAATAATAATAGAGTGGACCTATTGTGGAGTTTCCTTGTGTTGGACCTTGGCAGTCTCGATTTTTCAGCCCATACCATATATGTTTTCAGTCCAAGCAGGCATGAAAATGTGTTTTTATCATATGTTTTGAAAAACAAAATAAAAAAATCAGAATTTTCTTTTTCACTTTTTGTCCAATAACATTAGAGAAAAGACGAAAATATAATGACAGAAAGTGAGAGTGAAAAGTTGAAAAAAAACATTCATGCTTAAAAGTGACAACAAAAGTTAAAGAAATTGGCAATAAGGTATAGGTATATATTCACAATTTTTTAAAAAGTATTAAAAAGTGCCATATATCTCTACATAATTGTCGTTAACAAGTTCGCAGCAATGAAATGACAAGATATGGAACAGAAAATGACAACGTCTAATACCCTATTATATATTGACAATTTTATTTCCTTTGAATTTAATAAGTTATTAACATAGAAAAAAATCAGATACATATATATACATCATTTAATTTGTACAACACATGCAATGGTTTTAATTTTCAATCTCATATTGCAGAAAACTAGGTGAAGAAAACGAAAAGCTTCCATTTAAACCCCATAAGAGATTGCATATCTTTCATTTAAACCTGCACTATGCACCTCATATTGACTACTATACACAACTAGATTTTTGTATATCCCATTAGCTATGCATAACCATTCAACACGTGCACCCACGATGTATACACACACACCCATACGTAGAAAAGGAGAAATGGACAACCTACACCTCATTGTTATTCAACTAACAAACAATAAAAACCACATATTAAATTATCAAGAGAGAACACTCATGCAACACAAAAGTTCATCATTTACTTGGTTTTTTCTTTATACATAAAAGTTTAGGTGAATTTTAGGTCTTGAGTCTCACTAGAGTCAGGATATGCATCTATGATTAAAAAATACTTACAAAGGTATCTTATAAATCACTCACCAATAAAATCATCACATTGATAGCAAGATTTGATCATGATTTTATGAATTATGAGCCAAATTCTGTTGGTATCATTTACTTGGTTTAGTGTAGTCATTGTTCATCATTTAAATAAATTTTCTTCACTCTCTCTTATTAATAAAGGGTATTTCACATATTTCATTAGCATGTATTTTGTCAAAAAAATGCCTTATATTTTATGAAGGAGAGACTGTCATGTTTAAAAATATAAGACATTTTATATCTTTTAAAGTATAATTAATATGAATTTTTTTTCTCAAAAATATTGTTTAATTAGGAGTGTAATAAATAATATTTTCTAATAAAAACATCTATTAAATAACAATAAACATGAAAATAATGCATAATTTTAAATGTTATTAACTAATTTATTAAAAAGTATAAATTTGCCAAAGTGTCTTCTAATTACACTCGACTGATGGAACCACGCTACTATTATGAAATGAACCTATAGGATGGAAAAACTCGTGCATGCATTACATTCAAATTTTGCCATCCACTTTAGAATCTCCTTAATACCCCTAATCAATTAATGAAAAGACTTAGCCCAACATTTTTGACTATAGGCTCAGCCCAAGTTGGAATAAAGTAAAGAAGATTATGTTTATTAGCATTAATTGAGCGCAGTACATAAATTAATTAAAACTGTTTTATTAGTTTTTTTTTTTTTTGTGAGCACTCAATATTCTAGACCTGCCTCACTGAAGCTGTGATTTAATAGGGCCAGATTAATCCGAATTGAAGTATAACAAGAATCACAAGAGTCATCCAGGCTGATGCATTTCCGGTACTCAAACTCAATTCCTGTCATCACTTTCACATGTTGTATGGTTTACAACAGCGGGACTTCCGTTGACTGCGAAACCACATGGAATATTCTAAAAGGTGAATTGGCTGTCCCGCGTCATTCTTCCTGGCTCCCAAAATCAGGCCGTGAAAGAGGCCTCTCGAGGTTTCCAAGAAATCGTCTTCCCAATAATTCTGATAAAACAATTGTAAAGACGTGTGAAAACGACCGCAAGTTTACGCGTGTTATGTTACTTGAAATAGAACTTGTTTTCTTGCTGTCTCTCAAATCAGTCAACTGATCTGTTTCAGACGCAGACAATGGGAGGCGTCGGCGAGCTGATCGGTGGTGCTGCTCTAGGAACCGTGTTTGCAGAGTTATGGAAAGCAGTGAAGGACGCCAAGAACCGTCTCAAAGACTTCGAAGAGAAATTGCAGGACCTTGATGAAACACTCCAAGATCTCGATCCAATGGTCAGAGATATAGAAAACTTGAACGCAAAGCTGAAGCGATCCGATCAGCGTGAAGTAAAGCGTTTAAAGTCACTGTTGGAAAAGGGCAAGGACCTAGTTTCAAAGTGCCTTCTCCTGCGACGACGAGACTTTATCAAGAAGATATATTACCACAAGAAGCTTGTTGAGCTTGACAACGACATCATCAGATTCAACAATAAACACACCCAATTGGGCACATTTCGGGAGGTCAAGCTTCTGCACTTGAAAGTCGACCAGCTCTCCGATCAGATTCAAACCCTGAGACCTTCCTCCGGTGGTGGTGGTAGCGGTGGTTCCGGCGGACAGGTACCTCGGCGAGCTCCCGTTGTAGCTCCACCGCCTTATACCGGAGTTCCAAGGCTTGACATACCTACGCTCATTTTCGCGATTATCATGTTCTATGTTACCGGAGAAGCAACAGTGAAAATCATTTTCTTTATGGTTTTGCTCATCTGCAAACTCGTCTTGTTGGGGCTTGAAACTGACACTGGTTTGGCGATGATCATAAACGACACTGGTACGCTGAAAAAAACAGTAAACAAACTGAGGGCTACTATGAGATCACTGGCTACAGTGCTGGAGGAGATTGATAATGGAAGTCAAAATGGTGAAAAACTGAGACGACTGATGGAAGAGGGTGAGATGCTGGTTCTCAACGGCTCAAAGATAGGATGGTGGAACATTGTTAAGAAGTGGGAGTACCAGAAGAAGATGGTGGAACTGGAAAATAAGCTCTTGAGATTTCATAGCCGTCATCTGCAAGCTCGCATGGAATCGATGATTGACGCAGCAAGTGATGGCTTAGAGATGAATGAGAATGAATACTCGTCTAGGCATGCACATTATTTTGATGAGGTAATAATTATAAGGGCAGCTCTAAACTTGTTCTTTGGCAAGTTACTTAAAACGAGACCCGTAATTAAACTGTCCAAGATAATGGTTTAAGAATTTATGGCGAAAATCACTGTTGAATTATAGTCAAAGAGAACATTACATTTCGTTGAACCAGTTAAACACTGGTTCGATGATTTATATGTTCAATCGGGCGGATTGATGATTCGGTTTTCAATATTATCATACATATCTTGATTCATCATGATGAGCTGCATTATATTACAGGATCCTCATATCAAGGAACGGAGGCATATGGAAACAAAATCGTATGAATCTGAATCGCACGACATGCTCAACAATTTAGAATCATATCAGTTTTTGAACTGCGATCGTCCCATTTCAAGTTCCATTGAGGGGTTTCAACAAGAAGCTTTGGCAGGAAGCTAAAACAAAGAGATCATCAGCGTCAACTTTGATGTTCCATTTTTTTTTTTTTGTTTTTCATATTCTGAAGTCGTCGTCATGATCAAAATGGATATTTGACTCAACTTTTATGCACTATTATTGCACAGTGGACCTGCTGTAGCAACATTTTGAGTGGAATTAGTGGAAACTAGTTGCCAGTTGGTGTGTATTTGAATAATTTGTTGTGCTTTCGGCCACGCGTGGCCATACTTTTTCGGGGATTAGTTTGAACAGTCTTTTGGGTCAGCATGTTTGTGATTTCTTCTCTTTGATTGCTTTTAATACAATAATTGTACTGGGATTCCTAGTTATGTTTAAGCTATATCTAGCTTCTCTAGTTTTGCCAACTGCTCATGATTGTTTAACTAATTAATTGTAAGTTATATATACTACAAATAGAACAGGTCTTGCAATTAACTGTTTGAGATGGCATGAGAAATGAAAGGATTTGTTAGTTTGGACTCAATATATTGATTATTAATTTCGTATAATATTTAATAGGATGGATTTGAATATGAATTGAACCATACGTAGGATTAATCTCATAACAGGTTAAGAGTAATATAATGACCCTAATGACACCATTAGGCAGCAGAATTACATATTAACTATCACATAATTAATAATTAATATATTAAAAGCATGAAAAGGGTTGATTAAACATTAAGTGCTATGAAATAAGTATAGGGGAGATATAGTCTTCGGTGAATAATTAAGATAAATAATTATTCATTTTTAGTCCCAAGTTCTTGTTGCAATGCACCATGAGATCGAGAATGTGAATATATAATATAGAACTAAAGTACAAATTTGCTTTGGACGTTTTCAAAACTGTGTAATTTAGCCTTTCTGGAATCCATTTGCCCTTTTCATGCTTATAATATAAATTTTTATCATTTTGGCTCCCCACGTGCTACTTCCTGGATCCGTCCCTCGTAGCTGGTCTGTCCGGACATGGCATTGTGGGTTTGCATTGGATTGGATTGGTGTGAAGATATATATGTTGAAGATGGAAGTTAGGAAGCGAGCAAGCGATCGATAATTGGGAACCGTTTTAAAATACAAATTAATTCTCAAAATAGTCTAACATGTAACTAGTAAGTACATGTACTAATGATTCAATATGTATATGTACCTAAATGAAAACAAATTAATCCTCAAATATGTTTAATTTTTATTATGAACTCTTACATTATGTTTTCTTGTTTTTTTTTTAAATTTCAGATTATGTTCTTTCTTAATTAAATAATTACATTTTTTTATTAATATACATGGCTATTATCAATATTCTACTATCCATGTCAACAAATTTTAATAGTGTTGGATTGTCAAGTGTGAGTGGACTTGGCTTAGTGTAAAGAAAAGTCTCACATTAGATTGAATTAGGTTAAAGAAGAGATACATAAGTGGAAAGGACTCATAAATTCAACGCCTTAAGATTTTGAGTTAAGATGTAGTGTGATACTCACTTATATGTGTCCTTCTGGAGCCATTGGGTGGTCCAACCATGTTCTCCCCTCTTTAGAGATGTTCCGCAGGCCCAAAAACTGGTATCAAAGCCTGACTCTAAAAAAAGACCCATGTAAACATAGTAGAAAAAGCCTCAAAATCTCACAAGTGTTATTAGGCTAAGCTATTGGTAGCAGGTTAGTGTTTTCAAAATGTGGGCGAATGAGGGAAGCATATTTGTGTAGTCAATGATGGACTCACACTTAAAAAAAAATTGTTGGGTTATCAAGTGTGAGTAAATGATAAATGATAATTTTATATATTTTTATTCTTTTAATTTAGACTTTTAATTATTTATTTAAGGCTAATTGAGTTTAATTAGATATTATTTGATTTTATTAGCTAATATTCAGTTTTGGAATTTTAACTAACTAAATCTTTGATTTTAAAATATAAATAATATCTTTAATATTTTTGCACAGGTGCTATTTAATTTTATTTTATTTGTGCAGATTTTCTAGATTCAATTTGAAAGATATTGATGAAGAATATTTTGGATAAGAAGAATATGGGCATGCTTGGAGATCAAATCAAGAATCAAATCTTTAAAATTTTATTTGAATTTATTTTGGATTATTTAGTGTAATTTTTAATTAGGGTCCACTTTTCATATATATATATATATATATATGAATAGATGGGGGACGGAGAGGAAGCACGATCTGGGAAAAAAAAGGAAAGAAGGGAAACAGAGCAGCGATCGCCATTCGTCTTTCTTCTTCCAATTTCTTGGGTGATGGCTTCTCAATTTTTCATTTCATGTTGTTTGATTTTTAATTCTATGGAGAGCTAATTTTTTTTTGGTGTGATCAATCACAAACCATGATCCTAAATTTTAATCAGAGTCTTTAATATTCAGGAAAGATTTTATTTTAGCTTTATTCCAATTTTCTCTTCTTCTCTCTACCTCTAAATTTTATGCTTTAATTACTATTACTGATTAGAGTAGCTTTATTGCATAATTTTTGAGTTATAAATTTTATCTGAGGTTTTAATTGCTATAATCGATTGATATAGCATTGTAAGAGTAATTTGGCTTGGCTTGGGTGATTATCCATGCTTTGTTTTTGGTGTGGCTATAAAACAATTGTTAGGTTGTGGGTTAAAGGAGATTTCAATTAATCTATAACTTAACTTCTTGTTTAATTCTTGAATGATAATTTGAGAAATATTATAATGAAACCAGAATAATAAAGTTGAATAAAATTAATTTATTTTGTAGACGAGGAAGGTTAAATTTAGGTGATTGGGTTGTGATTGATTGCGCTGCTTGTTGTCGGTAATTTTCTTAATTGAATTTCCTCTATTTATTTATTTATAATTTAGTTTTTAATTTCATCATAAAAAAACCCCCCCATTATTTACCTTTTCATAATCATAATTTAAATAGTTACTCTATTGACTCTTAGGGAGACGACCTAGGTTGCACTTTACTGCAAAATCTAGTTTTTATTAATTTTGGTGCTGTTCGACAGTAGTGTCAAAATTTTGGCGCCGTTGCCGGGGAGTCAAAGGTGTTAACTTTTTGAGTTTGGTTATTAGTTTTTTTTTCTTTCTCATTATTTTTATTTTTTTTATTTTTTTTCTCTAGTATTTTTTATTTTTTTCAAGATTTATTATTATTTTTTGTCTTTACTTGTTTTAGGTGTTTTTCATTGTTTTTCCAGTTTATTAGTGCATGACAAGATCTTTACAAGATAAATTAATTGATTTGAACTCTGAGATTGAGAGAACTTGTCGTACTAACCGTAAAAATCAAAAGCACCGTAAAATTAGGGATAGTGTGATCTCTGAAATTTTGTCTGAATTGATTGATAGCATTATTAGTGATTCTAAATCTGACTTAGACTCTACAGTTAAGTTGGAAAATATGGCTGAAAATAATAATGGTAATAGAACAATTAAAGAATTGGCTGCTCCTAATGCACACTATCAAAATTTATGCATTCAATATCCTAATTTAGATGCAAATGCTAGTTTTGAATTGAAATCTGGTTTAGTACATTTGCTACCTAAATTTCATGGTCTTACAGGAGAGGACCCGAATAGGCACTTGAAGGAATTTCATATTGTGTGCTCCACCATGAAGCCTCAAGGAGTTTCAGAAGAGCAAATCAAATTGAGGGCTTTTCCTTTTTCATTGGATGGAGTGGCAAAAGATTGGTTGTATTACTTGCAACCAGGTGCCATTACATCTTGGGATCAAATGACACAGTTATTCTTAGAAAAATTCTTCCCTGCCTCTCGCACAGCTGCAATTAAAAAGGATATTTGTGGGATTCGTCAGATGACTGGGGAGACATTTCATGAATATTGGGAGAGATTTAAGAAATTATGTGCCAGCTGCCCTCACCATCAAATACCTGATCAGCAGCTGGTTCAACATTTTTATGAAGGTCTCTTACCAACAGATAGGTGGTTTGTTGATGCCGCAGCTGGTGGTGCTTTGGTAGAACTTACTCCAACTGATGCCATGAATCTCATTTCTAAGATGGCACAAAATTCTCAACAATTTGGGACACGAGCTAACCAAGCAGTTAAGGGGGTGAATGAGATTCCAACACCACAATATGATCCTAAATTTGAGAACAAGATGGAGGAGCTCTCTAGCATGGTTCGGCACATTGCCTTAACACAACAAAAATTAATGAATTCACCAGCAGTGCCAACTTTTCCACAGGCGTATCCCTCACAGACGTGTGCACAACCTCAATTTTATAATCCTCAGCAAGCTACCACATCTTCTGCCTTAGTTGGGCCTCTATGTGGCATCTGTTTTTTAGCCACACACACTACTGATCAATGCCCACAGTTGGATGATAGAGTTGAGAATTGTGCTGGGATTTTTCCAACTAGATCTATGCAACAGGGCCAAAAATATGATCCTTTCTCTAACACTTATAATCCAGGGTGGAGAGATCACCCTAATTTCAGATATGGAGGAAGCCAACAACAACAATATAATGCTACAGGTCAAAATTCACAGCCTATGCAACCAATGAGGCAATCTACTCCTATTTCAGGGTCTAAAAATGATGGACCAAGTCTAGAAGAGTTAATGAAGCAAATGGCAACTAATAACATTCAATTTCAACAACGCACTGAGACAGTAATCCAAAAATTGGAGAATCAAATTGGGCAGTTGTCCACCTCCGTTAATGAATTGAAGAGTCAAGGTTCTGGAAAGTTGCCTTCTCAAACAGTTGTAAATCCTAATTGTAGTAATGTTAGTGCTATCACTCTTAGAAGTGGAAAGGAGCTTCCAGAGCCCTCCACAACATCTATCAAGAATAAGTCGGCTGCAGCAACACAAGTCACACTTGAGGAGGCTAATGAAGAAAAGGAACCAAGGAAGATCCTTCCATTTCCAAATAGGGAGACTCAAAGCAAGAAGTTAAAGGAAGCTGAATTGGAGAAAGAAGTGCTTGATGTTTTCAAGAAGGTTGAAGTCAATATTCCCCTTTTGGAGGCAGTAAAGCAAATTCCTAAATATGCAAAGTTCTTGAAAGACCTATGCACGAACAAGAGAAGATTCAAAGCTAACGAGAAGGTCAATCTAGGAAGAAGTGTATCAGCTTTATTTCATGAAGGAATGCAGTGCCAACCCCCTATGCCCTTAAAATGCAAAGATCCAGGGAGTTTCACTATACCCTGTACTATAGGAAATTTAGAATTTTCTAACGCTTTGATTGATCTTGGTGCAGCGATAAATGTTATGCCCAAGTCTCTATTTTCTTCTTTGCAGGGTTGTGAGATGAAGCCAGCCGGGATTATTGTCCAATTAGCAGACAGGAGACTTGCCTATCCTAGTGGTATGCTTGAAG